AAGATTTTACTTGGAACTTTATTTAAATAAACTAATAAATTATTAGGAAACTGAAAATCTCCTAACTTGACTGGATATTTGATGGTATTAAAGAAGTATGAATTTAAAGTTTTCTGTCATGATGGGATTGTGGTCACTTTTTAGAAAGGACTCCTGTCTTTTAGAGATACATAATGAAATATTTACAGATGATTTGGGAAGTAGATGGGGCTGGTCTGGCTGGGTAACAGGTACTAAGGGATTAACTGCACTTTCTGCCTGTTTTTGTGTAGGCTTGAAATTCTCCAGAATAAAGTTAAAATTTGAATTAAATAAATTTAAGCCTAAAATTTTTCTCACATCCATTTTTAATATATAATAGCAAAAAGAAAATCATTACAATAGGTAAGTATAAACCTTCCCAAAGGTCTAATATTGTTAGTAGAAATGAGATTTTTCAACAATAGGACTGGTGAAATTGTTACTGTCTGTGATTGCTGCTGGGAAGGAACCAGGGCCCTCACATATGCTAAGTGTGCTCTCCACTGAGGGTACTACACTCCCAGCCCCAGGACTCATCAATAATTTGATGGGTAAGTAGTTGGGTGGGGGGATGAAAGACAGTAGCAGAGGGGTGAAGTCAAGTATGGTAAGAAATTTTGTAAATACTCCAATGTTACCCACACCCAGCACAATAATTTAAAAATGAAAAAAAGAATAATCTGAAGGGTAAATTTACTTCACTCCTTTGGAGGAGCTTTTCTCCCATTACAGTCAAGTTTTCAAACCCCTAGCAATGTTATGTAGGAAGTCAGAGTAAATGGTTCTCTCACACTACTTTTGCAGACATCTGGGTCTTTCATGGTTAGAAAACCAACTTGGACCTTAATATTTTCATGCAAATATATTAAAGAATTCCAAAATGTGACAAGGCAACTGGATAGTTGTTCTGAATGTTTTCCTCAGAAACTACCAGAAACCAGGGGTCCTCATCTGCTTTCATTTTGTAGTAGGAAGAACTGTCTCAAATCAGGCAGGTTGAGAGCCAACTTGTCTCTTAAAAGCAGCAACTGAGAGGCAGAGGACAAGTTCGTCAGCCAAGTAGGAGTTACACCCTGCCAGAGGCTCGTGGAAGGATTAAACACAGGACTACACACACAGCTTTCACCACACTACCTGACCGCTAGTGAGTACTGGCAATCATTAGCTTCGAATTTTAAATTCATACAACCAATCTACCAGCCTACCATAATGTGACAATTAAGTATTAAGGAAACCTCCAATCCCCAACGGAATCTAAAAACCAAAATACAATTCCTCAAATTAACTCCATCCAAGAAGTAGAGCTATATACCCTGGATTTCTTTGGGTTCTTATGCAGAGGAGATAAGAAAATCCAGCTTAATCTGCTAAAGTAGAATTGGGCAACTCTGCTCTTCCCTTTGAAAACCTTCAGTGGTTCCTCATCATCTACTGACCAAAAGGCATTCAAGTCATTACAGGGTCTGAATTGGACTGGTCTAGCACTCCATCACACTGCCTCCTGTTTGCCATTCCCAGATAATTAGGCCTGGCCTCTCAGCTATCCCCTCATCTTCCCCTGTACCGCAGCTGCCAGTGGATCTTTAACTCCTCTCTCTGACTCCAAGTTTCTTAATAGCAAAAAGGAACGAATGTTCCATTCATTTATAGTGGTGACCTAACTAAAAAACTCTGATCCACAATAAGGATACAATGATGCCTAAAGTTTAGATAGCAAAATGCTAACTTATAATTTCATGCTAGGCTGTGTTTTCATCTATTACATCATTTTTTTTTTTGCAATGCTAGAGATGGAATCCAGGGCCTTATACATGTTAGGCAAGCCACTTTACCACTGAGGTATATCGTCAGCCATCTTATTTCACTTTCACCTTCAAAAAATTAAGAGAGTAGATGATACAATAAATTCACCATTTGTCTATGACCATCACTATGACATAGATGGAATTAAGAAACAGAGTTCCTGATTCCCAGTCTGGGTTTTTTTCAATGGAAAAAGATATCCATGTTTTCAAGATTCATATTTATTCTACAGAAGATAAAATGTAAATTTTCTTTCTTCTTTGGGTGGAGATGAGTTTGTCAGGGATTTGAGCTTGCAAAGCAGGCACTTTACTGCTTGAGCCACACCTCTAGTCCAATGTAAAGTTATTTTTAATTCTTGTGAGATACTGGTGCAAAACCACCCAACAGTCATCTATGGGAAGTCTTTGCAATACTGATAAATACCAAATATTCTGCTAGAAAAAGTCATACACTGAAACAAAAGCAGTCTACCATATGATCCAGCGATACCACTCTTGGGGATATACCCAAAAGAATGTGACACAGGTTACTCCAGAGGCACCTGCACACCCATGTTTATTGCAGCACTATTCACAATAGCCAAGTTATGGAAACAGCCAAGATGCCCCACCACCGACGAATGGATTAAGAAAATGTGGTATCTATACACAATGGAATTTTATGCAGCCATGAAGAAGAACAAAATGTTATCATTCGCTGGTAAATGGATGGAACTGGAGAATATCATTCTGAGTGAGGTTAGCCTGGCCCAAAAGACCGAAAATCGTATGTTCTCCCTCATATGTGGACATTAGATCAAGGGCAAACACAACAAGGGGATTGGACTCTGATCACATGATAAAGCGAGAGCACACAGGGAGGTATGAGAATAGGTAAGACACCCAAAAAACTAGACAACATTTGTTGCCCTCAATGCAGAGAAACTAATGCAGATACTTTAAAGCGACAGAGACCAATAGGAGAAGGGAACCAGGTACTAGAGAAAAGGTTAGTTGGAGAAGAATTAACACACATGTACAGGAAAGCAATGCGAGTCAACTCCCTGTATAGCTATCCTTATCCCAACTAGCAAAACTCTTGTTCCTTCCTATTATTGCTTATACTCTCTCTACAACAAAATTAGAGATAAGGGCAAAATAGTTTCTGCCTGATAGCGAGGGGGTAGAGGGGTGGGAGGGGAGGAAGGGGGGAGAAATGACCCAAACATTGTATGCAGATATGAATAAAAGAAAAAAAAAAGAAGAAATAAAACCCTCTGAAGCAGGAAAAAACAAAATCAAACAAAAGCAGTATTACTTGGCTCACTTCACTTTCCATAATTCTTTTGACTGCTTTTACAAACCTCCTTTCTTTTTCCAACTAATCTGTCATATACTACTAGCCTCTTCACTGTTATTGATGTAAGGATCCATGCAAAAATACAGCTTGTAATTGCTGAACTTCTATTTCTCCTTCTAAGTACTTGGATATTACTTTGAGAGCTGAATTTAGGAACTGAGTGAACTATGGCTACCAACGTAACTTTTTTCTCTAAGGTGACTGAGAACTAGGCCTCCAGAATTATGGGTTTCCCTTGGATTCCTGTCACTCACAAAACATTAACCAGTTTAGACCACTGAATCTTAAATCCGAGACATCACATGCCATCTAATCGGGCTCCCCTTTCATATAGAAACTGAGTCTAGCAAGGTTAACTGCCTAAGAATTTACACAGCAACTAGAATCCAGAGGTTCCTAACTCACCAAAGCAATGCTAAATTTACTACACGTTACACAGCTTTAATCTTTCAAAGTAGGTATTACTATTTTCAAATAAGACAGGCTCAGAAGATGAAATTACCCACTTATTTACTTTTTTGTTACTTTTGGCAAAAGCCAGGATTAGAATTTTGTTCTTTCCTGTTCTTACTATCTCAGTACAATTTACTTTATTGAAAAGTGAGTTCTAAGAATAAATATTTCAGGAGAACATGGTTACAGGAATTGCAAAGAAATCACAGATCTGTGTATGAAAGGTAACACATCATCATTACAGCCAACTTAAAATTCAAGGCAGTGACCTAAAGAGTCTAGTGATCCACTGGCCATTACCAATTTCCCAGGTGAGCTAGTACACAGGGCTGAACTCACTGTGCAATCACAGTATTTTGAGGGTAAACTTTTTAAATTAGAAAATGCAACGAATGGGGAATGATCAAATTTTCTAAAAAACTTAAAAAAGAGACACTTTCCCCAGTTTGTACAATTAAAGTTATTTTGAGAGAAAACAATTTCAAATTCCAGTGTCACTACACTGAAGTAACCCAACTTCAGCTGGCAAAGTGTGAGCTCTGGAAGGTTCTCCCTCTGGGAAAACTGTCATAAATTCGTTGCTCTGGAATGCACGGGGACCTAGCAGCCCTTCCCCAAAGACCTAACTTATCTTTAAGAATCAAGCTAACCGTCACCAGTCTTTCCACTGACAAAATCATGTGACTGGTATCTCCACCACTTACCAAGTGAATCACCCCATAAGAAAGAAAAGAGAGAGAGAGAGAGAGAGAGAGAGAGAAAGAATAAAACCACGGCACACCACAATCCTGGGCGAAGAAGCAATTAACGATGCGAGAAGCAGAGGGTGCTGAGGCCTCACGCACCCAGGAGTCACTGAACACACTGGACGTGTGTGACACGCCGTAGGGGCAGCTGAGCTTAACGTCTGGCTTCCTCCTCCGCCGCAGCCACACTACACTGCCCGGTGACCATGTCCTCGAGGCGACGGTTCCCCAGAGAGGCTAGGAAAGGTATGCGGGGGACGCATGAAGGATTCCTTCCACTACGGGACAAGGGTAAAACTCGGCGGGGTCTGGTGTGGCAGGCCGCGGACACAGGAAAAGGCAGGGATGGGTACGGAAGAAGGAAAAGGAAAAGGGCGTCCCGGACCACGATGCTCTGGAGGGCTCGCCCTTCCACCCGGCTCCTGGACAGCGGAGGGGCCGGGCCAGGGAAGCCGGGACTCGGGCACTCGCTCCGGGCCCCTGGGGGTGTGACCCAGAGGTGGCGGGTGGTGACACCTGGGGCGCCGGGATGGGGCGTGCCCGGGCCGCCGCGGCCTAGTGAGGGCGGCGAGGAGCGCCGAGAGGCCCCGGGACCGACGCCGGACCCAGCCCGGCTGGGAGGGGACGGCAGCTCACCTTTAAAAAAGCGCAGCGCCAGGCCGTACAGCTCCTCCAGGCCGAAGCCCCAGCGCTGCTCCAGCCGCCGCGCCTCCTCCGCCGCGCTCCCGGCCGCCGCCTCCCCGGTCTCCGGCTGCTGGCCCGCGGCGCCCGGGCCCCGGCCAACCCCAGGGGGCGAGGGCGGCGGCAGCGGCGGCGGCAGTAGCGGGGCGCCCTCCGCACCGGGCCGCTCCTCGGGGTCCGGGCTCAGCGTGAGGCCGTCGACCGACACCTCTAGCCGCTCCGCGCTCAGCACCGCCGCCATCTCCGGCTGCTGCGCCTCCTCAGCGCGGACAGGAGGCGGCCACGTATCGACTTCCTGCTGACCTCTGACCTCCAGTTGCCGACACCGGAACTTCCGCTGCCGGGCGGCTAGAGCGCTCTCTGAGAGCGCCGCGGCTTGGTGTCGGCCACGCCCCTGGCGTGGCCACGCCCCTTCGCGGCGTCCGCCACGCCCCCAACTTCCGCCGCTCACGGGCCTCGGAGGACCTGAGCTCTGACCAGGCGCCCGGCGCTGTTCCCCGCTGCCCACGCCACCCGGCGGTGTTCGCCGCGTGCGTCCCGCCGGGTTCGGGTGGCCAGGGCGCCCAGGCGCCCGCAGAGATAGGGAGTCGCGCGGAGCTCTTTCGCCCATCACTTGGGTTTGGGAGTCACAGCCACTCAGGAGATGCAGGGCAAACGCCAGTCTTTCTTTTTAAAGAAGAAACTGAGGCTGCCGAGGAATTCGGTGGCTTCCTGTGGAGGTTGTGGACAGACGTAGCCCCTGGGATCCGTGGGACCCTCCCTGGGAGGAGGAGGTGGGACTAATGCCGGGCGTGGTGGCTCGCACCTGTAATCCTAGCTATTTTGAGATCGGGAGAATTGCGGTTGGAGGTCAGTCGGAGAACTTGTTCCAGAGACTCCCCATCTCCAAAATAACCGGTGTGGCTCAAGCAGTACCGCACCTGCTTTGCAAACGCGAAGCCCTGAGTTCAAACCCCAATCCCCCCCACACAACATACATATGTATGCATGTGTGCATGTGTGTATCTACATACAGTGCACTCAGTCCACACTGTTTATGACGTAATCACTGAGTAGTGAAGTCCGTTTGGATTAGGCATGGAGAGACTCAATCCCTCTACTTGTCATCTTTCACTTCTGATGATTGGAAGACTTTTCTGTGGATTGGCTTCTGTTCTTTCAAACTGCTTCTCTTGTGCTACCCACGTACTTCCTGTGCCAGGCACTCCAGAGCTTATGCCCTCTGGCCCTGCTCTTCTGTGACACAGTGCTAGTTGAATGGGGCAGTGGATGTATTCCAAAAAGCCATTCCTACACCCACGATGAGCAATGATTTAACAATGCAAGGAAGTTAACAGCGAACCACTTAAATACATACCCCTAAACCCAAGTTAAGTGTATCCCTCCTTCAATCATTATCCCCTTAGCCAGACCCAAAAAAAGCCCACACACACTCCAACACCTGCCGACCAGAGGGCAAGGGTGGGTAGGGAGGAAGTTAGAAACAGACAGGGTCTTAATTATCTCAAGGTTTCACAGAAACAGTGGACCACAGCAGGAAATGCTAGGGCCTCTCTGGGGTGGGGGACTGGGGCCTGAGCATGTGAGGGACCCTGAAGCTTGAGTGTCATGACTTTATAGTAAACCAACTTGAAACTTAGAGGACTCGAGACTAATCCTGCTAACTCCAAGCCCTGGGTTCTCTCCACTTAGTTTAGACCTTTAGATCTAGCTTTAAATAGTCTAAAAAACATGCACACTGCAGGGCCTAACCTCCAAAAAGTCACGACTGTGGTGTCTATCTCAGTGTCTGACCTTTAGTATTTGGTACCTCTTGAAGGTGACACTGAGGTGTGTAAATATAACTACTTCATGGAATACAGGCTGTTATCCACTAAGCATTTCTTTTGTAATCAGGAAAAAAATGATTAAAAAGTATAAATATTAAAACTTGAAGAACACACTTAGAAAGATAGGTAAAATATGATAGGTATTTACTCATCGTTAACATTTTTGATGTTTTGGAATTTAGCATACTGAATATCCCTGAAAAATCTAAACATCCTCTAGACCTAATAGCTAACACTTCCTACAACTAACCACTCTTAGTGACCAAAAAAGATCAGGCAACACAACTTCCTTTTTTTTTTTTTTTAATCTCACAGCCCAGACTGGCCTGGAACTCCCCAGGTAACCCACATTGGCCTTGAACTCATGATTGTCTTGTCCCCACTTCCCAAGTGCTGGGATCACAGGCATGGGTTACCAACGCCAGCTGCAACTTCCCTTTAACAAGTCATCTTGAGAGATGCATTCTAGGGACTCACTATTGGAAGAGGTCACACGTTAATATATGTGAGAGTCACCTGAGGGTCTTGTTAGACTGAGTCTAGCTCAGCAGGTGAGCAGGGAGACCTGATCTCATATTGCTTGCTTTTCCTTGGTCTCTCCTCTCTCCCTTTTTCCCTTCCTTCCTTCCATCCATTTTCTTTTACTTTTTTTTTTTTCTTTTCTTTTCTGCAGTGCTGAGAATGGAACCCAGGGCCTGGCACACCAGACAACCACTCTACCACTGATCTGCATCCCCAGCCCAGGAATGGTTCATTAGTGAATGACAGAATGAAAGTACTTACATCCATTACATGTTATATCAATTCAGCTCAACACACACGGTAAGCGTGTCTTACAGGTGAGGTGGTATAGGAAATTCAAAGGTGAAAATACAACAGCGTGGCTGGGGTGTCACAGCCCAGCAGGGAAGACCATGGGTCACTCAATGATCCTGACCAGGTGACTTAACTTCTGTTTCCTCCTTTGTAAGTGGGAATAATAACACTGTGCACATCTCAGTCTGTTGAGAAGACTGGATTCATGAACAGTGTGTTGTCTCCTTCCATTACTGTAACAAGTTTCTGAGGTAAGTCAACCAATAAAGAGAGAAGGTTAAGTTTGCCTCACAGATTTGGAGGTTTCAGTGCATGACACATTGGTTCTATTGCTTGGGCTGCAGTGTGTGACAAAGGAAAACCACCTCATAACCAGGTGACAAAAAACAGAGTAGGATTGACATCCTAGAAAATATCCCCTTCGTGGACCTGGCATGATGACATACTCCCAACATCTGGGAGGCAGAGGCAGGAGGTCTGTGAGTTTGAGACCAGCCTGGGTTACATAGTGAGACCCTGTCTCAAAAAACAAAGAAACAAACAAACAAAAAATCCCCTTCAAATGAGGGAGGGGGTGGTTCAAGTGGTAAAGCAAGCACAAGGCCCTGAGTTCAAACCCAGTACCACAAAATCCCCTTCAATGGCCCACCGCCAAGAACATGAAGACCTGCCTCTAGGATTACCTCTTCTACTGTCTCCCCGTAGTGCCCAGCTGGGCACCAAGCCTTTAACACTGGGCCTTTGGGAACCATTCAAGACCCAAACTATCACAATATGTAAGGCACTTGGAAAAGGTCCTGCCTGCACAGAGTGAGCTTTTAATAAAATTTGATCACTATTAAGTGAACATTCCATTGAAACGTACAAGAGGTTGCACACTGGGTGCTCAAAGGAGAAAGCCTGCCCACCAATGTCTTGACTTGACTTGCAAGAATTGGCCTTCATGTTAAGGTTGAACCAGTTGGGAGCATTTTAAAATCTGGAATGATTCAGGTTTCTGATTTACCTTAAAAAACTAAGAAATCTGGTGACAGTGGCCTAGTGTTGGTGTTTGACAACAGGAGCTGGCACCATGCAGGTGATGCAGTGGATGCTTTGGCAGAAGAGACGGGCCCGCTCAGGGTCACAGCAGTCACTGGCCCGTGGTGGTGGACACTGTCCATGCTACCTGAATGGAGTCTGTGTGGCTAGGTTTTGTTACCTGCCCAGTCACTTCTCTTACCTTGCTTTTGCACTGTAACAGAATTCCCTAGACTTGACGGTGTATAAATAATAGAATTTGTTCTCAGTTTTGGGACATCCAAGGTCAAGGCACTGGCTGACCCGATGGCCGGCGAGGACCCTCTTCCTGGCTCATACTTGGCTAATTCTTTGCTGCATTGGCTCATGGCGGAGGGCACACAGGAGCTTTCCAAGCTTCTCTTATAAGGATGATTATTCCATTCACGAGGGCTCTGCCTTCTGGCCAAACCACATCTCAAAGCCCCTCCTAGTGCCAGCACAGTAGGGCTTAGGCTTCAACACAAGGGTTTTGGGAGGGCAGATGAGCCTGAGGAGGCAGACAGATGGGGGCAGGTCCTGGAAAGGGAGGCCAGAGGCCTGGAGGGGAGCCACTGAGGAGTCTGCTCCATCAGCAAGGGGAGGTTGCAGTCCAGAGCTCAGAATGGAGGCTGCAATTCCTGTGTAGACAAAGACCTCGAGGCCCTAAGAGGAGCAGAGCAGAGTGATGACAGGAAAGAGGTGGATTCCAAGGAGATTTGCCACAAGCGACAGAGCCAGCCAGAGAAGGCGAGGACAGAGGCATGGGACAGTGTCTTTATCTGGAAGAAGCAGAGCTGTTTCTGCCCTGGTGCCACCCCATCATGCTGAAAGGCCTAAAAAAAGTCATCGCTACAAAAGTGCTCTGGAAAGTCTGAAATATGACAGCTAGATAAGATGTGATCCTTAAAGGGACTGTCACCATTCCTTTTTGGCCTGTGCATCCAAAACATTCTTTTTCTTCCTTGAGATGGGGTTGCTCAGGCTGGCCTTGAACTCCTGGGCTCATGTGACTCACCTCAGCCCAGACCTGGGGCTACAGGTACACAACACTGGGCCTGACTCAAGACATTCTTAAGGCCTACAATCATTATGAAAGTGTGTGCATTTTTTTCATATTCAAAAGTAAAAAGTGATCTGTTAAAAACCTCCAATATTTATAGAAAACTTGTATGAAGAATGGAAGACTCCGAGAATCTCATTCCTGTGATATAAACAACTTCGACCGTGTGGGAATGTCATTAAACAGCATCTTCCAGGTGCAGTAAAAAGGAGTAAAAGGTTGGAGAAGGCCCAGTTTCCCTCCCGGAATTGGTTCTAAAAATTGTCCAAGGTTCATGGATGCTTAAGATTCAGGGCTCTCAGCGCCACCTGCTGGCCAGAGGCAGAAGCACTGTGGTTGGGGCTGCCAGACCCACTCCCCTTCCAGACCTGGGGTCCCCTCCCAGGTGTGAGGAGAGATGGGAAGCAGGTCAACAGGAGAAGTTAGCTGGTGGAACAAGTGGGAGGCAGGAGGATTGCGAGTTCAAGGGCAGCCTGGGCTTCCTACCTAGACCCTGTCTCAACCTCCTCCCCCCCAAAAAAGAAATTTGGTCATCTA